TCTAACTAATGGCGATTACTAATATGCATATGAAACAAACTGTGGCGATTACTAATATACACATGAAACAAACTGTGACCGATAACAAAGCATACTGAAAACGCAAAGGTTCGTAGGTAGATGTTTATTTTTAAACAACAACACGCTATGGACGTGACGCATGCATAGGTGACGTCTCCTCGCTTTAAATAAAACACGACAAATTTGAAAAACTCAGCATTGGGTGCATTGTAAGTGCACAGCGTGAATAATTCAAAGAATATCACTTTCCACTTCCTTCTAATTTCCATTTTTCCCGAGAACCTCCATCAAATAACGGAAAAGCTCAGATGTGTGGGTACGAATCCCTTCCTTGGGCAACTTTTTCAATAGTTGAGGAAGAACTCCAGATGTTGCACCTTGAGAAAAACTTCACAGTTTTAGCCAGGGTGCAAGGTCTGATTTACAACAGCTGTTTAGAAAATATGTCACTGTTATATGTCGGTTTACAAATTAACTTTTAGCTTATGAATACAACTGTAAAATATAACCAATGTTATGCACAGATACAGGAATGCTTTTGTTACACATGGTGATTTTACGAGAGAAAAAAACAAACATAAAAAAGGCTTAGACCCAACATTTCCATTTATAAGGTATCTCATATTTAAAAGTGCGATAGTGAAAATATAAATAATCTTCTAATTTATTGGGTATGTTAACTCCCATACCGAGAAAAGATTTATATTGCAGTGGGACTACCATTGACATTGGGAATGTCTGTAAAGAGTAGTCAATCATTTCAACGTAAGTCATTTTGTCCCCGTCTTCAACTATAGGAAACCTTCTTAACATCTGACGAGTTTTTCCATGGGCGTGGTCTTCATATGATGTGTACATCATAATATCCAAAGCCTTGTCTTTGTATTTGAATACACAAACTCCAATTCTGTCGCCGTTTTTGTTGTAGCAACTTAAATAAGAAATGTGTTTCTTGGCTAGTGATTGGATGAACTGTTTTTCGTCGTATTTACCACCAATTGGATAAAGAACAGCCAGGTCCGCATCAAAATCATGTCTGTGAATTGAAACAAAAAGGCAAAAAGCTGGTCAAAGGATACACACGAGTATTATGGATTTGCAAAAATTCTATATTTGTTATACAAATATTTGTTTCTTCCAGACATGCAAGTGAATGAAGAATCAATGAATGAAGAAACGCTTGCTAAAGACTTCACTGCCTGGGAGATGTCAACCTTCCTCTCTCCTCGTAAGGCTAAAATAAGAAAAAGGAAGGCCATTATGAAGAGTTCTACCCTAATCCTGTAAAAGAACTACCAGAATGTCACCCTAGAGCTGTTCGATTATAACAGTACAGGTGAGCTTATCTTTAGGCAGACACTGTGGGTAGTAGGCGGAAGTGGCTGATGGTTGTACCTCAAGACGATCCCCTTGGCACAGACCCAAGAGCTTTCTTGGAGGAATCACATGTCAAAATTCACTGGAAACTCACGGAAGAGATTCTTACTCTTGGAGGAGTTAAGATTCACTCACTCGTAAGAGGCAGTGAGGAGTACACAGATCCAGTTTCCACCACAAGCAGGAGGCAGTCCTACAAGCTCATGAGATCAACAAGGCACCACATCTTCGCCACTATCCAGGAGACACTCGAGAAATGGACTCGGAGAGGCTCTGGATGGGTGCTCAAAGTAGTTATAACTCTCTGGCTTGACATTGCTCGGTAACAGGGGGAGCTCCTATATCCCACTACCAGCATCAGTGAGAAACAAGAAAGCAGTCATCAATGTGAAAAAACAACGATGATAGCTCTCTCCGATGATTGACACTCTGATCAGTTCTATTTCACACAAAGGACCATGTGGACATGCCCTACAATTCAGGACAGCCTAGATTTCGATGCCCCACACCCATATCTAAGATGCAGAAGGTCGAAAAGCAGAACAATCTGGCTATCAATATATTTGGATGGGACAAGGTTGTTGTTGTGCATCACGTCAGCATACAACCAGGATCAAAGTTACTGATTGAGAAGGTGGTCAAATTCCTTTAGACCTGGATTAACATCCTAAGTCATTTACTGCATAACCAAA